TGATTATCATTCAAAAAGAGTTGTGGGCACAGGTCCCTGCTACTGTTATTTTTGTGGGTTAAAGGCTGAAAAGTTTGGGAACCACTGCACTTTGGTTCCCAAAGTTGGGCTTGGGACCCAATTATGGGTCATGAAGCACCTTGGATAATCTCCAGAAATCAATTTAAAGGGTAATAAAATAATTGCTGATGTAATATTTTCCCTATAACTATTACAAAAACACAAAAAAGTATAAAGAAGTATTTATATTTGCGTATAAGCTGTTTAGATTGTCAAAAAGCCTGTGTTTTTAGGGTTATTAACAAAGTTCGTGTAGGCCTACTTAGACCAGTAATATTTGGGGTCACAAGTTTTTGCCATGGATATTTTGTGGGTCAGAATATAAAAAGTTTGGGAACCACTGATCTATATGACCTCCTTGTATGAGCTAGACTTTTATTTTAGGTTCTAGATGTAGTATAAGGTTTGATCACACCGTGGCGCTACAGCTGCCTGGCAGCACCAATGTTCTATACAAACATCTCTTCACTCTCGTTTTCCCAAGGCTTTTGAGGAATTTATTTTGCCCTAAGTTTAGTCTTTCAGGCAATGTTTCTTTGTTAAATAGTGTTTAATTGTTGGCTGTATGTACATCAAATATATTTCATTTGTTCATTCTGCTCACGTATAATRATTCAGCGTCCTTTTCTATGGTCATAAGTTTAGACTCGGACGTAATTTATTCCTTCATAATTTGTGTCTGCCTGACAGCCTAAACTCTGGGTAAAGTATCAGTTCTCCATTTCCGGTAAGTCATTACGGCTTTCCTACAAGAAAGAAAATGGAATCCGGCGATCGGACTTAGTTAAATCGATCTGTTTTGTCGAAATTGTTTGAAAAACAGTTGTGTCGTCGGAATATATTGGTGTTTACATCGCCAAACAGGTAAGGTATTAGTAATGTAGTGACCGACAACGTATTCGTTTTGTTTAATTTGAAATTGACCCATCTCGTTCGCTCTGTTTAGACACGAATTGTGAACGTCACTACTTGACGTCGTGTGCTAAGTTAGCCTGCGGTGATGCTAACAGTAGCATAATATATATTTTAGATACATTAACTGTTCAGGAAATATATTTAATAACATATTGTATCTGTATTATTAGCATATGCGTTTTATTATCGTTGAAGTTGGGTAAAACTATATTGTTACGTTAAACTGCTAGGTAAGCTAACGTCATTCGTTGAACCTTGTTAGCCATTAGCTTCTGCGCTATTGATAACTGGATTGTTCGTCTGAGCCTGTAAAGCGACAACACGGACTTTATCGGACTCAATCTTTTCATACATGTMATTATTTAGTTTTCTTTTAAATGTTTGTACTTCTATTCTACCGATAAGTAATTGAGGTTACTACGCTATTGCCCTTACTCAAATCTAATTTCGGTAGCTGTAGAAGACATAAGCTAAGCTATACGATGCCATTTTGTTCTCGACTCGACTTTGCCCAACATATTGCTTCTCGGTTGGACTGACACAGTTATTTTTTTAAACTGTTAAAGAATGTGTTTTATTGTTTGCCCTTGATGATAATTTATAGTTTGTGTGATTATAGAGTGACTCAGCTTGTGTTTGTTGCTTATATGCCAGTATGTTGCTTTGTGAGAGGCAAGGCAAGCTGTGCAAACCTATTCGCTAAATACATGTTGAGTGCGAATACTGAATTTTATGGCATGTCTTTGTGACATATAATCAGATCACATTCGTACCTCGAATTACATTTTAGACTTCAGTAATAGCATCCCACCTTATTAATTTGACTGTTACAAGACTTCAGTCATTTGCCATTTGTGTGTATTGAGTTTTTAACTCCAGTTAGCCACAAATAAATGTGCTGCATATATATATATATA